GTTGCAGTGTGTTGTTCTAAAGAGTGTAGTAATATTTAAACATTAGGTTGACTCATTTCCTGTTATTTGCCTCCTTGTATGTTGTCATGTAACCAAGTTGCATTATTGTAAGCATAAAATGGAAAAATACATATAAAAAGGTAACCGTGAAGGAAATCTGTATGAACACATTTTCATGTATGTTGTTCTATTCTCACAATTTAAGAGAGACAACTTTTGTTATTTCATTTATTTAGTTATTTATCGAATAGTGAATTTAAATCCACTATACGATCAATGTGTTGTTGTGTCAATGTATTGTACTTTGGATTTGCCACTAGACAGAGCATGCAATGTTTGTCCACATGCGATGACAATTCTACACTCTTGTCCTTTGTCGTAAATGCAAATGTGGAGTAAATCTGCTGTTATTCATTGAGATTCAGTTAGACAAGCGACATACCACAGAGATCATACATGCTACCCTAACTGTTATGCTATGCTATAAAGGTTATCATGTTGAGGTGATCTCAGAGTGTACAGTAGGTTTATGGGAGGACATTGCTTGTTTGTGTGCTTTGTCAATAATTTTTTTACCCATTTTGTATTTTGAGGTGCCAGGAGAGCCGATTGCAGAATCCGTCCAGATGTGGTGCACCTGTGTCCACCTCTACTTGATATAAAAGTTTCCACCTTGTTCACCTTGCTGCTTTGCTTGACCTTTTGTTTTTACTTTATACCACAATATATGAACACTATATAATATGATTTTAAAATGACACTAGGTTCCCATCCATAGGTTCTATCATTATAATTACTGTTAGAACACATTATTTCCATGTCATAAAAAACTGTTACATTTGTAACCTTTTAATATTGATGTTTTCGTGAATGCAAAATATGATTTTAATTTAAGCTGTTGCTTGTGTATTGGGAATCAGACTAAATGTACTTGCAATAAAATCACATTCTTCACTGATCACTTTACTATGTTAACTGGAAATAATGTGATCTAATCTTTTAACAAAATGACAGTAAACAGCTGTAAATGAACATGTTATGATGGTATTTATAAGTTTAACATTTTGTTTATATGCTAGAAAGTTAAAAATGAAAACCTGCCGTCCAAATAAAACCAGAAGACCATGGAAAATCAGCTTTCATACGTCAAGTATCCAAGACGAGTATTTAGCAGTTTAACTGGGTGTAGCAGACACGGTGGATGCTTCATAGGTGGCCATGACCTCCACAACAACTGACCACTGAAAGAAATGTGTTATAACAAATCTCAATGTGCCTTTGTGTGTCAACAGTCATATTCAAGATAAGAATCTCGCACAGCGCGGTCTATTGCATTAACGCTCAAGTCCAAACTAGCGTGTAGGGAATTACAATCTTTAACGTAAGCTGTTAGGCAATAAAAGTTAAGTCTAATGGTTTGCAAGCTAAATAGCTACCATCATATGTAATCAAGCACTAGTTTATTAAGTTGTGACAAGTAACGTTATAATCAAGTGACAAATAAATGACTCGTAACTAGTTAGCCCATGTGAAAATCTAAATTGAGGTTCATTGATTTGCTTCAGATTGTTCGTTTGAATTGTGTAGTATAATCTCAATAAAAGATAAATTATTATTTTAAGTTTTGTTGAGTAGTTTCAGGTTAACCTACCTCCAGTGTTACGTCAAGCTGGTAATGGGACAGACATCGGCTGTAGGTCGTCGGTCCGGAGAGGACAGCGGCTGGGTCCGGATCCGGACCGTGGTCCGCCTATTAGTGACCTCTGGACTATAGGTTCTATTTCGCTACCAACCACCAATGTCGACTTGCCTCTGAGGGGTTTTAGCCGATTAGCTACCTCCATGCTAGCAATGCAGACTAGCATATTAGCTTGGTAGCTATAGGTGCATGGTTTCAGAAATAAGGAACCTGATCTCCTTCAAAACAGCTGTTCAGAAATCAGTCACAGACACTGTCGATTGGTGTTGTTTTTTTTGTTTTTTTTTTTTTTTTTTTATACAGTCAATCATCATAATACACAGTAATGTGCGCAGCACATCGACAAACAGGTATCAGTCATAGGCTGCTCAGACTTGACAGGTTGGGCTTGCAAAGGAAAGGCAATGACTATAGCAAGGGTATTCAATTAGAATTCAAAGAGGTCCAGTTAGAGAAAATTTCCTGAAGCAAAGGTCCGGAAAATCAAAACGACTAACTTGCATTATCAATCAGTACCATAACGTAGTTGTATCAACATATGTTTTTAGTCAACAACGGATTGTCAAATTAAATAATATTTGAGTCAGTTTTCACATCAAACTGGAGGGATAATAAATAACTACTCTAATAATAAATTCTAAATTTAAGTAAACCAAAGTGCTTAATTTTTAGAAAAAAATTAAATAAAAAGTGTAGCTTGAAGTAATGAAGTGTAGTCTTAACCAACACACAACACACCTTAACAAATGAACAGCTGTAATGCTCTTCTCTTTCATTTCCATTTATAAACCTCTTTCCTATTTTCTCTTGTTCATTCAGAAACATGATCTCTAGATTGTCCTGCCAGCTAGCATTGGAGTTCTATGAGAGATTCTGGTTTTGAACTGCCTGTGGGAGGAACATACATGTAAAAATCTGTACATTCTTGATTAAAAGCCATATGAAATCTCTTTTCTCTTTCGCCTACTCAATTCGTGTGTGTTTCCAAAACGTCTTTTGTGAATCTGGTGGACTCAACCAACAAGCATTGGAATGCACAGATTTGATTGGCAGAGCAGCGTCACATGGGACGACTGGAGCACATGCGATTGGACTGTGAGTTTCCTGGTCCGCTAAACCAGTACAGTAAAGTTTCAGTAATAAATCAGTTGTAGGTCGTCGGTCCGGACAACGGCTGGGTTGTGGCTGGGTTATTAGTGATCTGTGGAGTAAGGTTCTATTTCCTCTCCTACGTCCTCACCTTGAATATATACAATGGTGAGACCCAGCCTTCTGCTTGCATTTTTCTTCAGCACTGAGCTGTCTAAAGAGCAGAAGATTTCCTGTCGGAAAAGAAGAGCGATGTCTTTTAGCAAGTCGGCCTGAGCGGGGTGGGGACGCCGTTACATCAGTACGGGTGTGCGGCATCCGTGACACGGGCTTCGTCCTGCCGGGGGACCTCCATTCCCCACACACCCATGCTGGGTGTGCCTCAGACAGTAGCTCACCCCTGGCTCACGCTGCTTGTTCTGCGACCTCCTTTCTCCCGAAGAGAAGCAGCACTGGGCGGATCATGTTGCCGATGAGGTGGCTTGGCGGTCCACCCACTCTCTTGACAAAGCCCTCGGCCTGTTGCTATCGGATGAGCAGGAATCCCCCAGCAGCTCCGCGCTCCTCGTTCCAACGCCGGGCCTCGATGTTGCTATGTTGCCGCAGCGAGGCAAGCAATCGTTAAGCTACAAGGATGCTACGGTCGGGCTAACGTTGAGCTAACAGGTAGCTAACGGTAAGCTACCGTGTAGCTGGTAAGCTATACGTCGGAAAGAAGCTTTGTGAAATGTAAGTGCTCCGTATTTGTATAGCGCCCGTCTAGTCTTTTTTGAACACTCATAGCGCTTTTACACTACATCTGCATTCACCTTCATACACAGAGCCTAAGTGCTCACGGAAACTGACATTCACACTCATTCATACACTGGCGGAACAGCTTCATTATCAGGGGTTCAGCCACAGCCGCCCCCAAATCTTTTTGCTCCTTTTGTGGAAGTTGTTGAACAAATGCCGTCTGTGCCTGTCTGCCAGCTGCCATTAGCCAAGTGACTAATCTGCAGCTTGAAGCTCAAAGCAACAAGCATCTGTTCACGATCAGAGGTCCCTTTACACACCCGTCCCCACAGAAACTGTATGAGCCCACGACAGCGGACATTTCGCTTCCTGTGGACAGAACACATACACACCCGGTACAGTGTGTGATGCTATTGACATGCACGCTCCCCTGGCAGTGCCCTGTGAGCTCGTACATAGTCACGGCATCACCGACGCAGTCCCTCCTCCTGCATCCGTGAAGTACGGCATCAAGTGTGCGCCAACATGTCCTGGTGGAGCGAGTACTGGCTCGCCTCCCCTGGTGGCTGCGACTTGCCGTCATATTGACTCTCACATGCCCGCCACGCAGGGAGGTGCTCCCTCCTGTATGGTGCCCATGACCCTCCCTTCCCCCCACCAGGTGCTAAGTTCTCCTGTTCGGTGGAACACAGAGGTTGCTGCCTGCCAGGCCCCACCACAGCCAGCATCCCCGCCCTAATGAGGCGGGCCCCTCCCCCATGGGTCGTGGCTGGGCTTGAAAGTTTTGTGATATCTACTGCCTACTTAGCCTATCAACACAGAATGATACTGCGCCACAAACAGGCACAGAGGAATGCATTTTCAGACTGGAGCAGCTTCAGTGAACGAGTGGGAAATATGTTTTGAAGGTATTATTCTTGACTTGCTCAGACCCCAAAGTGGTAACTACAGACTGAGAGAGTCGGCTGCATCAGTGCCAAAGTAGTGCATTTTTTTTATAAACCTTTACCGATTTATTATGTCAGCAATCTGATTTAAAAAAAAACAAAAAAGACAATTCCGAAAATTGAGAACATGCTGAATATCGGCTCTGATATGGCACAATAATTTTAAACATTTCAGCTCAATCAACTTGTTTTTATTATCAGCCAAAGCCAAAATTGAGATTAAAATTTGATGAATTGCACAGCCCTACTCGAGACATACCCATCCTTCATTTTAGCTGTTGCTGCCTTTTTTTCTTTTGTGGTGAAACATTACAAACGTGCTATGAGTTAGGGTTTGGATGAAAGGCATCTGCCTTGTTCTTTAGTGGCCTTTTATAATTTAACAGTAGCACCCCGCTGCTGGGCTCCAGTTTCCACTCTTTAACGGGAGGCTTTCTGACTTCAAATGCATTACAGCTCCAGCACACAAGGTTTCTTATTTAATTTACTTAAACCTTGTAACTTCTGTCTTTGTCTTTCTTCTCTCTAAGGTCGTCCAGGGATGTTTGACTTCACTGGGAAAGCTAAATGGGATGCCTGGGAGAAGCAGAAAGGTACACGTTCAGATCTGTTGACTATATCAGAATCAGAAATACTTTATTGATCCCCGAAGTGAAATTCTGTGTTACAGTTGCACACATTGCACAAGGGCAAAGGAATATAATAAAGATGGTGGTATAGAGAAGTACAGTGGGTACGGAAAGTATTCAGACCCCTTAAAATTTTTCACTCTTTGTTTCATTGCAGCCATTTTCCAAAAATCAAAAAAGTTCATTTTATTTCTCAGTAATGTACACTCAGCACCCCATCTTGACAGAAAAAAACAGAAATGTAGAAATTTTGGCAAATTTATTAAAAAAGAAAAACTGAAATATCACATGGTCATAAGTATTCAGACCCTTTGCTCAGTATTTAGTAGAAGCACCCTTTTGATCTAATACAGCCATGAGTCGTTTTGGGAAAGATGCAACAAGTTTTTCACATCTGGATTTGGGTATCCTCTGCCATTCCTCCTTGCAGATCCTCTCCAGTTCTGTCAGGTTGGATGGTAAACGTTGGTGGACAGCCATTTTCAGGTCTCTCCAGAGATGCTCAATTGGGTTTAAGTCAGGGCTCTGGCTGGGCCATTCAAGAACAGCCACGGAGTTGTTGTGAAGCCACTCCTTCGTTATTTTAGCGGTGTGCTTAGGGTCATTGTCTTGTTGGAAGGTAAACCTTCGGCCCAGTCTGAGGTCCAGAGCGCTCTGGAAAAGGTTTTCGTCCAGGATATCCCTGTACTTGGCCGCATTCATCTTTCCCTCGATTGCAACCAGTCGTCCTGTCCCTGCAGCTGAAAAACACCCCCACAACATGATGCTGCCACCACCATGCTTCACTGTTGAGACTGTATTGGACAGGTGATGAGCAGTGCCTGGTTTTCTCCACACATACCGCTTAGAATTAAGGCCAAAAAGTTCTATCTTGGTCTCATCAGACCAGAGGATCTTATTTATCACCATCTTGGAGTCCTTCAGGTGTTTTTTTAGCAAACTCCATGCGGGCTTTCATGTGTCTTGCACTGAGGAGAGGCTTCCGTCGGGCCATTCTGCCATAAAGCCCTGACTGGTGGATTGCTGCAGTGATGGTTGACTTACTACAACTTTCTCCCATCTCCCGACTGCATCTCTGGAGCTCAGCCACAGTGACCTTTGGGTTCTTCTTTACCTCTCTCACCAAGGCTCTTCTCCCCCGATAGCTCAGTTTGGCCGGACGGCCAGCTCTAGGAAGGGTTCTGGTCGTCCCAAACATCTTCCATTTGAGGATTATGGAGGCCACTGTGCTCTTAGGAACCTTAAGTGCAGCAGAACTTTTTTTGTAACCTTGGCCAGATCTGTGCCTTGCCACAATTCTGTCTCTGAGCTCTTCAGGCAGTTCCTTTGACCTCATGATTCTCATTTGCTCTGACATGCACTGTGAGCTGTAAGGTCTTATATAGACAGGTGTGTGGCTTTTAAGGGGTCTGAATACTTTCCGTACCCACTGTATATACAGTGAGGAAAATAAGTATTTGAACACCCTGTTCTCACACTTAGAAATCATGGGAGGGGTCTGAAATTGTCATCGTAGGTGCATGTCCACTGTGAGAGACATAATCTAAAAAAAAAATCCAGAAATCACAATGTATGATTTTTTTAACTATTTATTTGTATGATACAGCTGCAAATAAGTATTTGAACACCTGAGAAAATCAATGTTAATATTTGGTACAGTAGCCTTTGTTTGCAATTACAGAGGTCAAACGTTTCCTGTAGTTTTTCACCAGGTTTGCACACACTGCAGGAGGGATTTTGGCCCACTCCTCCACACAGATCTTCTCTAGATCAGTCAGGTTTCTGGGCTGTCGCTGAGAAACACGGAGTTTGAGCTCCCTCCAAAGATTCTCTATTGGGTTTAGGTCTGGAGACTGGCTAGGCCATGCCAGAACCTCGATATGCTTCTTACAGAGCCACTCCTTGGTTATCCTGGCTGTGTGCTTCAGGTCATTGTCATGTTGGAAGACCCAGCCATCTTCAATGCTCTAACTGAGGGAAGGAGGTTGTTCCCCAAAATCTCGCAATACATGGCCCCGGTCATCCTCTCCTTAATACAGTGCAGTCGCCCTGTCCCATGTACAGAAAAACACCCCCAAAGCATGATGCTACCCACCCCCATGCTTCACAGTAGGGATGGTGTTCTTGGGATGGTACTCATCATTCTTCTTCCTCCAAACACGGTTAGTGGAATTATGACCAAAAAGTTCTATTTTGGTCTCATCTGACCACATGACTTTCTCCCATGACTCCTCTGGATCATCCAAATGGTCATTGGCAAACTGAAGACGGGCCTTGACATGTGCTGGTTTAAGCAGGGGAACCTTCCGTGCCATGCATGATTTCAAACCATGACGTCTTAGTGTATTACCAACAGTAACCTTGGAAACGGTGGTCCCAGCTCTTTTCAGGTCATTGACCAGCTCCTCCCGTGTAGTTCTGGGCTGATTTCTACCTTTCTTAGGATCATTGAGACCCCACGAGGTGAGATCTTCCATGGAGCCCCAGTCCGAGGGAAATTGACAGTCATGTTTAGCTTCTTCCATTTTCTAATGATTGCTCCAACAGTGGACCTTTTTTCACCAAGCTGCTTGGCAATTTCCCCGTAGCCCTTTCCAGCCTTGTGGAGGTGTACAATTTTGTCTCTAGTGTCTTTGGACAGCTCTTTGGTCTTGGCCATGTTAGTAGTTGGATTCTTACTGATTGTATGGGGTGGACAGGTGTCTTTATGCAGCTAACGACCTCAAACAGGTGCATCTAATTTAGGATAATAAATGGAGTGGAGGTGGACATTTTGAAGGCAGACTAACAGGTCTTTGAGAGTCAGAATTCTAGCTGATAGACAGGTGTTCAAATACTTATTTGCAGCTGTATCATACAAATAAATAGTTAAAAAATCATACATTGTGATTTCTGGATATATTTTTTTTAGATTATGTCTCTCACAGTGGACATGCACCTACGATGACAATTTCAGACCCCTCCATGATTTCTAAGTGGGAGAACTTGCAAAATAGCAGGGTGTTCAAATACTTGTTTTCCTCACTGTAAATATCAGAGTAAAAATATAAAATAAAATAATATAAGGAGTGTGGATATGTACAATATTTATAATATTTACATAATTACAAACTGTTGGTGAACAGTAATATGGAATAAATAGTAGCAGCAGATAGTATTGCACATTATAATTCAAGCAATGTGTTATTGCACAAAACAGATGATAATGTCCAGTTTAAAACTAAGTGTCCATGTGTCAGACACTTAGAGGGAGGAGTTATAGAGTTTGATGGCCACAGGCAGGAATGACTTCCTGTGGCGCTCTGGTGCATTTTGGGGGAATAAGTCTTGCACTGAAAGTGCTCCTGTGTTTGAGCAGCACATCATGGAGTGGGTGGGAGACATTGTCCAAGATGACATGTAGCTTGGACAGTATCCTCCTCTCTGACACCACCGACAGAGAGTCCAGCTGCACCCCACAACGTTACTAGCCTTGTGGATCAGTATGAGTCTGTTAGTGTCCCTCAGCCTACTGTCCCAGCATGTAACAGGATACCACTGGCCACTACAGACTCATAAAACATCCTCAGCATCGTCCTGCAGATGTTGAAAGACCTCAGCCTCCACAGACAATAGAGACTGCTTTGGCCCTTGCTGTAGAGGGCTTGAGTGTTCTTGGCCCAGTCTAGTTTATGTGCACTCCCAGGTATTTATCCTCCACAATGTCCACAGGGACCCCCTGGATGGAAACAGGGGTCACCGGTGCCTTTGCTGTCCTTAGTAGTGATGGGAAAAGTCACTCTTTTGAAAGACTCGAGTCACCAAATCTCGTTCATTAAAACCAACTAATCTTTTTTTGTGTCATTTCGTTCATTTTAACTAAGCTGGTTATTGCGGTGCTGCAGCCCTCTAGTCGGCCATTTAAAAAAAAACAGTTCTCAAACACAGAAGGCTGCCTGGCTTGCTCTAATTGACATAGTATAAGGCACAAATTCACCTCTTGATCTTTCTTGGTTCTATAAAGCCCCATGGAGCCACAACCAAATTCAAACCATGTGAAAACCACAGAAATATGTTGTCAATATTCGATTAAGCAACTACTCCGGCTAAATCTGTCCATTTTCACAATCTTTCCTGAGTATACTACCAGACCAGCCATATATATGTGTGTGTGTGTGTGTGTGTGTGTGTATATATATATATATATATATATATATATATATATATAATTATAATTACTATCACTATATCTCTAAAGTGCTCATTCATACAGCAGCCTAACGCCTATCCATGAGTAAAATGATTTACAGGGAATATATTGAAGTAATAAGCTTGACACACTAGAAGAATAAAACACACTCTTATTAAAATTTAACAAATTTAATAATAATCTCAAACACTGCAGGTTGTTCACCAGTGAGGAGCGGTGAAACAACAGCAGGGCTCTGTCCATAAATAAAAAGTAAACGTTAAGTTGCGTTCTCTAGTGGACCGGATCAGCTGTTAGATGTAAAAACACCATGAACGAAACGTTCTTTGAACGACACAACACTACTCCTTAGATCCACAACCAGCTCCTTATTCTTTGAGCTGCAGATGGTTCTGCTCACAACATGTGGTAAATGTTGTACATGTTTGTACATGGTACATGTTTCATTAGTTGTCAGTTTTAATCATCACTGAATGTATACATTATACAAGTTTTACTTTTTGAATGGCATTACTGAAATAAATCAACTTTTTGATGATATTCTAATTATATGACCAGCACTTGTAGTCTTCACTCAGTAATCTCAACCGCCATCAGAAAATATTGGTAATCCCTCACAGCTCGAGGACCCAACCATACGCAGTAATTAGGTTTCATATGACTACTTCTCAGGACTAAACACTGCATGCAACAAGGAGTAATGAACAAGTAGTAACATTAGAAGAATTTATTGCAATTTATTACCAATTACTTAATGAATGCATTTTGATTTTTCATTAACTATCAGGCAAGTCCAAAGAGGATGCCATGAACGAGTACATCACCCTGGTGGAGCAGCTGAAGCAAAAGTATGGATTCTAACGTTATGATAACGACAAGCCAAGTGGACTGAAAGCACCAGCTGAGACCACCACCGGTCGTCCCGACGCTGGGAAACGCCTTAAAACCTAAGGAGTATGTCCTTACACAACACGTGAATGCCTGGTGGACCACCGATCAGAAACTGTTGTCATATTTTAGTTGATGTTTTCAACCATGTCTCTGCACAGAGTCCTGTCATTTCAAATAAAAATCATTCTACTCTTCAGTGCAGTTTGGTGTTCTCAGATTTAAAAAAATAATGTGTGTATTATTTACATCATACATAAAGATTTTCATGGATGGTAGCAAGGTGAATAACTTGATGAAGGTATTTCAAGGCTGTGGATGAGATTCACACACTTACTGCTACAGGCCTAATTGGCGCTTGTTCCTAGCAAAGAGTTTTCCCTTCAAACCTTCTTACTTAGCTGCCTTGAGCGAGGCCCAGTGTCAAGTTTCCCCTTTCACACCAGATTTTGATGCAGGTTCCCATTAAGTCTGCGAGGACTCATGGCTATCCTCCTGTGACATCAGCAAGTGTTTTTGAGTGCTCTTTGGTTGACTTTGTCGCCCTTAATGCACACTGCCTATAACGCTGCAGACTTTGCTTTAGTGAGAAACCCACAATTCATAGTGTGATGTTTACATGGTGATGACAGTGGAATTAAAATAACAAATCTTTTAACTATGAATGTGCATGTTAAGCAGTATGTAAATTGCACATATTGCACAGTGATGTCATCCAATTAGGTTTATTTATTTACTGCAGTTGAATATTATGAAAAACGGCTTTCAACTTTCTGATCTTAACCCTGAGCCACAGCCGCCCCGTTGTTCTACCTCTGTATTTTAAAACATTGACCAATAGGAGCACAGAGCACAAGCAGCCAAAAAAATGTCCACAGAAATACAGACAGTAAAGGTAGTAGGGGTACAGACTGAAAATTAGAGGAGGCATTTACTCACTTAACAGGTTATAATCTGAAACTGAGTTTGTAACTCCGTTCTGCTACACAGTAGACCGTATACATTAATACAGAAGCACTTATAATTAAAGCTGCAAGCAGCGTTGGGCGGGACCTCGCACTTGTAAGCGCGTCCGCGTGTGAAACGGCCGAGTTGCATATTCTGGAGCTGCATGAAGGTGTTATATGTCACTTCCTGTGTCCCCTATGTGGAGCTACATAGCACTTGCCGCTATGAATATAAATCGGTATTGACGTGTAGATGTCTGCGGGGTGGGAGAGTTATCAAGCACGTAAAGTTTGTTTCAGATGTGAGCATGTACACTGAACAATAATGTACCCAAACAATAAAATAAATTCCTTTTATATTTCCCTGCCTTGTTGTTTATGTGTACATACAGAGGAAGAATGTGAGTACAGCACACATTTCATCGTTACTGTGTGTTAGAGCATGGGAGAACAGTGGATACTTTTAATACAGCCCACACCCCTAATACTGTGTAACTATAACAAGTAGAGAACAGAAGAAAAAGATGTTCTTTCTTTACAACTGTCTGCATAGCTTATTCATATTGTGTAATGAATGAAAATAAATAGGCCTACTAGGCTCCTCTCTACTTTGACATTTAAGATTAGCTTGTTTGATCCACCTTCATACACATGTGACATTACTGTACAACTTGAGAAAGGTGAGTTGTTTTCTGCTCCAGCCTGCCTAAAAGAAAAGCGTTTTTGGGATTAAATGGACTTTATTAGCTGCTGCAGTGCAGGATGAACTCAGAATAGACCCATTTCTCACCTTATTATTCTAAATCATGCAACGAAGAAGAAGAAATGCATAATAAATCCTGTCCACAAATACTGTACAGCATGTAGTCTGATGAACAAGACTTGTGTTATAGCTGACTTGGGCAGTGAAATGTTTAATTTTTTTAATTCATGTGGTCATAGTTGTCCACAACTCAAATCAGAATATAAGAAGAAATGTTTTATACCACCTCAAGAAGGCTTCCTATCAGAAAGGTAGGAAGGTATTTCAAATGTACAACTGCAGTACTTAAATCTAAGTAAAGTAATTTCCCTGACATTTTTGTGTTACTTTACTTTTAATAGACGCATGTAACAGGTTTTATACTTCCTGTGAGTATAATCCAATCAATCTTATTTTCATACTGTATATCCGTTGTGTAATTTGATAAATTGTGTTGTATGTGGTGCTCACATCGGGTACTACTGAGACTTCATTGCCCTCTTCAGAGAAGACTCTGATTGCAACATGCGTCTTTGTAAAGAGAGAAACAGACAGAAAAAGTCTCTAACTCTGCCTGTCAGCTCGCTCTGCTCCGTTAAAACTGAATTTACCATACAGAATTGAATACGAGTGCACTCCAGATTTAGCTGCAGCCAGCTGACCGTGTGCTTCTCCCTATACCGCAGTTCTGTGTCCATGCATGCAGCAAACTGAAAGCACTGTCTGTCGGAGCGTCTACGTGAAAAGAGAAGGAAGACATTGCTGGTAGTATTGTCTTCAGAGTTGTTAAACACCTCAGTGCACTGAAGGAAGCCATCTGACTGTGTGAGGGGCAAGATCGTTGATGTCTGCAGGCAGAGTAGGAGCTCTCCTGTCTGACTGGTCCACCAATAGCAGAGAAGATGACCCCTTGAGACACAGCCCCTCCTCATTTGCATAATGAGGCAGAAATGCATACAAAAATAAAAAAAGACAGGCAGAAATAAATACCATGGGTGAAAATAAATAAGGTAAAAAAATACAAAGGAAGAATAAAACAGACAAAAATATTAAAAACACACATAAATAAATACATTAAAAAAATTAGTAATAAATAAAGTTGAATAAACAAATAAGGTAATTATAACAAAGGTGAATAAGTAAAGGCACTAATTAAAATATATACATTTATGTCTCCTTGTATAATTTAATTACTACCTACATTTATTTATTTACTTTATTTTTTTGTGTATTTAATTGGATGCTTATTTATTTATTGAGCATTTATTTATTTCTGTATTTATTTCTGACTGTGTCAGGATCGGTCCTCCATAGCGGGGTGGGAGAGTTATCAAGCACGTAAAGTTTGGTTAAGATGTGAGCATGTACACTGAAGTTACAATAACTTCCTGTGTCATGGCGAAGACTTGATCTCTGACGCCACGCCACGGACACACCCATTGACGAAAACTCGCAAATAGCACAACTTTTCATCTTCAATGCCTTTAGAAGGCACAGCACAAATTTGAAGTCGGTCGGACTAAATCCCTAGGAGGAGTTCGTTAAAGTACGAAGTGTGTAAATCATCCAAAATTTGACGTAAAATTCAAAATGGCCGACTTCCTGTTGATTTTAGGGCATCGCTCCAAGAGGCTTTTTTGTGCGTCTGGACAAGATACACGTACCACAGAAAATTCGTGCACGTAGGTGAAACGTGCGGCAGGGGCTGCTTTGTTAAAGGTTACTTCCTGTTGCCAGCAGGTGGCGCTATGACTGTGGGTGAATGTCGGCATGTACATGTGTTCAGGGCGGGACTCTCATCCTACATGTACAGTTTGGTCCAGATGTGAGCATGTACACTGAAGTTACAACAACTTCCTGTGTCATGGCGAAGAGCTGATCTTTGACGCCACGCCACGGACACGCCCATTGACGAAAACTCGCAAATAGCACAACTTTTCATCGTCAATGCCTTTAGAAGGCACAGCAGAAATTTGACGTCGATCCGACTAAATCCCTAGGAGGAGTTCGTTAAAGTACGAAGTGTGTAAATCATCCAAAAATGGCCGTAAAATTCAAAATGGCCGACTTCCTGTTGACTTTAGGGTATGGGTTCTTGAGGCTTTTTTGTGCGTCTTGCCATGATACATGTCCCCAGCAAATTTCGTGCATGTAGGTTGAACGTGAACGAGGGGCAAATTTTTTCCAATTTTCTAGGTGGCGCTAGCGAGTCATTTTGCAACGCCCATGTGCGAAACTTGTAGAATACGAAATTTTTCACCGGTTCTGACATGTTTGCAAATTTTGGTGAGTTTTCGAGTATGTTTAGGCCATGTCAGTTGGGCCTACTTTGCAGAAAAAAAAATATATATACATATATATATATATATATATAATCCGAGCAAATTCAATAGGGACCTCACACGGTTGTGCTCGGGCCCTAATTAAAGCTGCAAGCAGCGTTGGGCGGGCCCTCGCACTTGTAGCGCGTCCACGCGTGAGCCAGCCGAGTTGCATATTCTGGAGCTCTGCCGGTGCGGCTGTGAATTTCCTACGCGGTTCCGACGCCGCATGAAGGTGTTATATGTCACTTCCTGTGTCCCCTATGTGGAGCTACATAGCACTTGCCGCTATGAATATAAATCGGTATTGGCGTGTAGATGTCTGCGGTGTGGGAGAGTTATCAAGCACGTAAAGTTTGTTTCAGATGTGAGCATGTACACTGAACAATAATGTACCCAAACAATAAAATAAATTCCTTTTATATTTCCCTGCCTTGTTGTTTATCTGTACATACAGAGGAAGAATGTGAGAACAGCACACATTTCATCGTTACTGTGTGTTAGAGCATGGGAGAACAGTGGATACTTTTAATACAGCCCACACCCCTAATACTGTGTAACTATAACAAGTAGAGAACAGAAGAAAAAGATGTTCTTTCTTTACAACTGTCTGCATAGCTTATTCATATTGTGTAATGAATGAAAATAAATAGGCCTACTAGGCTCCTCTCTACTTTGACATTTAAGATTAGCTTGTTTGATCCACCTTCATACACATGTGACATTACTGTACAACTTGAGAAAGGTGAGTTGTTTTTTTGGGATTAAATGGACTTTATTAGCTGCTGCAGTGCAGGATGAACTCAGAATAGACCCATTTCTCACCTTATTATTCTAAATCATGCAACAAAGAAGAAGAAATGCATAATAAATCCTGGGACAAAATCTGTCCACAATACTGTACAGCATGTAGTCTAATGAACAAGACTTGTGTTATAGCTGACTTGGGCAGTGAAATGTTTAATTTTTTAATTCATGTGGTCATAGTTGTCCACAACTCAAATCAGAATATAAGAAGAAATGTTTTATACCACCTCAAGAAGGCTTCCTATCAGAAAGGTAGGAAGGTATTTCAAATGTACAACTGCAGTACTTAAATCTAAGTGACATTTTTGTGTTACTTTACTTTTAATAGACCCATGTAAGAGGTTTTATACTTCCTGTGAGTATAATCCAATCAATCTTATTT